GTTTCGGCATAATAATGCCATCTTCAGGTGCTTACTTGTCCATGTCAAACCAGTTCATTGCATGCCATGTTCACACATTAAAATAACTAAAATATGTATCTATCATATACATTGTCAAACGTTAAAAATATTAAAATTGTTGTGGTATTCTTAACAATTTTAATATTTTTAACGTTTGACAATGTATATGATAGATACATATTTTAGTTATTTTAATGTGTGAACATGGCATGCAATGAACTGGTTTGACGTGGACAAGTAAGCACCTGAAGATGGCATTATTATGCCGAAACATGTAGTGCGAGGGAAAGAAGGAGATAAATGAATGTATGCACTGCAAGACGGATTAAATAAATCATGGACTTAAATCAGTGCAACAGGACGCTAAAATATAACATTAGTGAAACATGATTATTAGTCAACAGGCAGCTGCTCATTAAGCACAGTTTTACAATTCACTATCACATATGGTGGTAGATTAATGCTCTCACCCAACTCTTGCCAACATTAGAGTCACTCACAGCTTTTGGTTATCTTTTGTTTTCATGTCAATGGATTTAACACCTGCATCATCACTGACACTGCCTCAAGGTCTGATAGGAACTTTACGTAAAGTGAAGAACTCTGCTATAAAGAAAACTTATTCCTCTACATCATTTGAACACACAGCCCTGATTTGTTCATAAAATTTTAGCCTCTCATTTAGTAACAATGTTTCACTAAATTGACTATCCATCTGTCTTTGAATATGTACCTAAACAATTTTCACATAGAATTGGCATAATTTCCAGTTGTTGGTGCTTTGGGAGACCCTGCAGTGCTTTGCACTGTTACATAAATTCGGACATTCATAATTATAACACACGAAGAAAATTAAATTTTCATGTACAGCACAGCAATACAGCTCTTTTTAGAGGAGTGTGATAAATATGGGAATTAGTTTGTATAATAAGGTCCCCAATCAAATAAAACAAAGGGTAAATTTTAACTCATTAAAAAGGAATTAAAATCTTTTTTGCTGAAACATTCCTTTTATTCTATAGATGAATTTATGTCTTTTGATTCATCAAGTGTGTAAATGTAATATGTAGCTGATTAATTTGTTGTATTTGTGTAAAGGCAATGAAATTAATGGTAAGTAGATCTAGATAATATTATTCAGATGACAAACCCCCTCCCTATATTAGGGTGATACAGTGCACACTGTAAAGATATGCATGAGAATTAGATGTAAAACTGACAATTTCCCTATCCAAGTGGTTGTAATACCTGTATGTATGGACTGTTGAATGATAATAAAAATGAAATGAAATGAAACATTTGTTCATTTGTTGTGCATGTATAATCATCACTGTCTTCAAGTACAAATCACAACTGTGGTGCTCTTTTCTTGACCATATTTATATTGTGACATGTTGCGCAATGGAGAACCCCTCCCTACCCAGCAGCAACGTGGCAACTCAGGCCAGCGTGTAATTCAGAGACTTGTATAGCTCCTGCGTTATTAATACGTGAAGACTCTTGAAGATAGTGTGAAGAGATTTGGTTGTAGGGTTTCTAAATTGTGAAACCCCGCAATATTGTTATAATTAATTGTAGCCGTGATTTGTAGGTTGTTAAATAAACCAATTAACGATCTCTACAGCGTATTCAGTAACGAAACACGTTACAATATCTTTTACATTAAGTAAGAATGTGTGTTTCTGTGTGCAGTGCATGTTCACAATTCCTCCATCTACTGACATATGATAAAATTGAAGCAATGAATCTACAGTAAAATAAAATGTAACCTTCTTAGAGATGTATAATATGTTCCAACATGTTAACTGACAATTCTGACTTAAAAGTGCTTATGACTCAATAAATAAATAATGTTATATGCAATTAAGGTATATTGTTTATTGTTATTAAATAACTCCACAAATCCTGTACAGGGGCTTTAGCACCCATATAACTTCAGGTTGCCCCATATTATTATAAAAGTGTGATTATATTAATTGTTACCTTGAGGGTGCAAGTCTTTCCTCCAAATGGTTCCCCTACCAACATAAATCCATGGTGTACAATCATCATCTCATATGTTTGAATTACTTTTATCAAAAATGAATCTACAGGTTGTAGAGCCTTTGCCTTGCATGCCTGAAAAGGTGTGATAAATTAGCCAGAAGCATGAAAATATTGTAGTTCTCATTCAAGAACTGCCTTGAATTGTGGTACTGATCACCTGTCCACTTTAAATAGAATATGGCAATCTGTACAGTAGAAAGTGTGCTCTGTCATATGAGCGAATGCTTGCTTGTAAACTTTTACCAAGTCATATGAGCTTGAAAGTTAAATATGACTGTGTAAATAGAACCTATAAAACATCTATATTTGACTCACCTCTCTTGCAGCATTAAGAAATACATCATAATTAGGCACAGGGAGTATGACACCAGGAAATAAGTCAGAGATGATGCCCTCAAACAAAGGTATATCATGAGAAAGAAACTTGGGAAGATTGACATCAATAATTGATCTAAGGAGCAATATCTCTTCTTTCTCATCTGGGAATTTTAACTTCAAGCTTCCAGCAGCTGCTAACACAGTCTTAACTGCTCTCATCCCTGGAAGGTAGAAAACAGATAAAGTAGAATAAAATTACTTATGTGTGAATACTGTAGTCATCTCTTTATTCCCAGCTAAAGAACAGTTTATTCCCATTCCCAGACCAAGTTACTCCCATGCATTATTACTGAATGAATATTTCACTGAGAAATCAATTGAATTTTCATCAAATAATCTGTATTATATACAGTCAACTCTCGATTATCCGGGGGCAGATTAACCGGTTTGCGGCTTAACCGGGGCTACTGAGGCTTTTTTGAGGCTTATGTTGTTTAATATTCATTCACTTTTGTTTCACATGGCGAGTTGTAACACTATTTTCGCACTAGTGTGAACCGAGCTCTGCATTCTTTGCTCCTGTTATGCTAACACAATGTTCTAGGGTAGGGGTGAAAGAATGCAAGGATTTGTGGAAAGTTTCAAGGACAGATATATCGTCCCAGTTAGTATCTTTGTATCGATCTTCAAGTGCGTTAGCAAAATGTCCGAGTGTAAAAGGAAGTGTGTTGTGTTAAGTATTCAACAGAAAAAGGAAAATGCCGCAAAAAAGTAAACGACAGTATTATATTTTTTTAAGTGTTAAGTGTGAATATTCGTAAAAAGTGTTGGATGTTGTTGAAGACTGTGATTGAAACAACTAATTCATACTTCAGTGTAATGTAAAAAAAGTATTAAATAGGCCATGAGATGACATAAAAATGAGGTTGAATAAATTTAAATACAGGTAGGCATATAGTATTATGCAGGTACAGTATTACAGTACTACTTTTAATAAAATTTGTCTTAACTGGATTTTCGATTAATTGTGATTTCCATCCCCACCATTATCCCGGATAATCGAGGGTTGACTGTACTTCTGCTAGACTTACCATAGTCGTAGTGGTTTTGAGATGATAGCTGTTCTGAGCACAGTCGAAATGTGGTGACAATTTTCACAGACAAGCTTCGAGCCTCCACAAATCCATATGAATACAATATTATTTCTCCAATGAGAGCATAGTCTGGTACCATCATAGCAACAGTGCGGAAAAGGACCTGCGTTAAAAACAGTCATTTTCTTAATATTCATGATACCTTTATTAAAGTACATACTTATTCACTTATGGAGCTTAGCCCTTCTTGAGGAGGAGCCAAATCTGCAGCTACTCAAGAATTTCCCAGCATTTTATGGAACCTGAAGGTTCATTACCGTGTTCACAAGAGCCCTCCACTGGTCCCTATCTTGAGTCAGCTCAATCCAATCCATACCATCCCATCCTATCTCTCTAAGATCCATTTTAATATTGTCCACCCACCTACGGCTTGGTCTTCCCAGTGGTCTCTTTCCTTCTGACTTTCCCACCAATATCCTATATGCATTCTTCTTTTCCCCTATGTTATTAAAGTATTACAATATAAATTTAACTATTGCACTTTTAAAATAGGAATAAAAACTAGTAACTGCCACTACTAGTACTACTGATACTACTACTACTACTACTGTACTACCATAATTATCATCTTACCATCACCACCACCACAATCACTTCTACTACTACAGTACTTATCTCATTTTATGAGAAATTATCTGAAGAGTCAATATTTATTTTGCTATCCAAGCAATCCCCCTTCTCTTCATTCATTCATCTGTAATCTGTCAAGACGACAGGTCCACAGTCTCTTCCAAAACAGTTCCTCCACTTGATGCGATCTAGAGCTTTCTCCTTCAAATGAAAATACCCTCTTCTGTCCCCAAGGTCATCCAGGATCTTCTTATGCCTTCTGGTCACTTCTATCCACCCCTCTATCTTTCCTTCAATAATTTCTTTTAGAAGGCAGTTACAACGTAAGATATGACCAATCCAATTAGCTTTCCATTTTCTTATTTCATGTAGGATATTCCTCTGCTCACTGACTCTAAATAACACTTCTTCATTTCTCACATAATCGGTACAACTGATCTTCTCCATCCTTCTCCAACACCACATTTCGAAGCTTTCCAGGTGTTTCTGATCTACTGCCCTAAGTGTCCAAGTTTCAGCCCCATACAAAGTTATGCTCCAGACTTCTCTTATGGAACATAAATGTTCATAACCATAGTCATAAAGGCCTATAATGAAGCCATAAATCAGCTCAATTCAGCCTGGATATCATGACCTCTCTTCATGAACTCCAAATTTGTATTGTCATGTGTATTACTGACTCATGACTAGTAGAGTGGGTTTGAATTGGTGAATTGATTTACTGGATAGTCACCAGTTTTATCTATAATTAATTGTAACATGCTCAAGATTACTGTAACTATAACACACAAAGCAAAGACCTCAACAGCTGCTTGCGTGGTAACACAATGAATCTTGAAGAGTCTGTAGCCTCTCGAACTACTTGCTTGTCTCTCAAACTCTTGTCACCCTCACACTTACTTTCTTGTCTGGCAAACCCCTCATGTTTTATATATCTTTGTCCAACAGCGTACAGAACACTTAATTCAAGGGTTCAGTTTCTCGTACTGGTTGTAACTGTTTATGTATGTGATGTCTCAGAAACGTGCACGAGTCGTTGCCTAGCAAAATGGGTAGTTCTATGTCTGGCTCCACTATTCCAACTTTTAGATGTTGTTTACTAAGCTGCTGCCTGGCAATGAACGCCCGGCTCTGACTCCACTATTGCAGCTTTCAGGTGTCAAAGCACAATATTATCTTCCAATTTATAAATTTACCTCTTAAGCAGTCCCTTCTTATTAAGCTTTCCAACCAAAAGGCTTTTAATGTCTGTCAGGTCCCCAAGAAGTAATTTCAGCCTCCCTTATTTTATCATTTTAACAACTATATTCTGTAAGAAGCTAAGAGAATAAACCATTCTGAACTGAACAACAAGCACTTAAATTTTTATTCTGTTGTTATAATGACAGCAAAAACCAAAACTGACAGCTGTAATAATATAAAAATTAAACAAAAATGTATTTCAAAGAATATTGTTAACAATGATATGCAAACTTACTTTCAGGTTATCAGGTAGCTCTGATCGCCCTGCATAACCTGGGTTCATGGTGATACAAATATAGCAAGCAGGATTAAGGTTCAGCCGAGTGCCTTCAAGCACAAACATTTTAACCCCTGCCTGAACTGCTTGAATGATACACAGGATCTGTTGGGCTATTACTGACAGCACCTCTAGTTCAATCCGGTTAAATTCATCAAAACATGCCCATGCCCCTGATGATGCCAGACCTTTGAAAAACTAAACAACAATAAACATTTATAAACATAAGATAATGAAATGGAATTCTAGCATTTGGGTGCAGTGAATACGGTTTCCTCAAACATGCGAGATCTCATATTATTCACAAAGTACTTAAGTTGAAGTGTGAAATAATTTATAAAGTAAAGTTTTCCAGCTGAGAAGCAAACTCATCACAGTATGTAGACTAAATATTTGTAAAAGCAGGTCCAAAATTATCAAAACACAGGACAATTTCATCACACTTATGGCCAGAAGGATTCATCGTACCAGTTAGATTGTACAACAGGGAAGTGACATCATTCTTATACTTCTGTGAGATCTCATAATGGGATAGCTCAGTCAGTATAATAATAGGCTACAGGCTGGACAGTTGGGGTTCCATTTCCAGAAGGGAAGCACGATTTTTCTCTTCTTTGCTGTCTGCAGACTGGCTCTGGGGCCCACCCAGACCAGTATTCAATGGGTACCAGGGGTTCCTTCCTTGGAAGTGAAGCAGTCAGGGAGTGAAGATGACCAGTCACCTCCACCTAGCGCCAAGATCAAGGATCATGGAGATACACATCCACTCCCCACATGTATCTTCATGGCATAACACTTATTTAATTACGCACAAGAGCAAGTGTAACATTCACTTGGTAAAATCTAGTTTTAAGCATAATTTAATATCATCTTCACAGAGGTTATAAATGCATGCATTGTCATTACCTTTGTACCAGAATATCTGGTCTGATTTGGTAAATAAAATGATAAAAAGAAGGTAAATTTCTCCCTGTGCTTAACTAATTAAGCACTACGCCATGAAGATGTATGGAGAAGTGGATGTATAGATCCATGTTTTCTTGATCTTGGCACTAGTTACAGGTGAGGCACCAGCTTCATGTTCTGGCTGCTTTACTCCTGGGGAAAGAGCCCCCAGTACCCATTGGACAGGGGGTTAGGTGGGCCCCAGAGCCAGTAGATGATACGGAGAAGTGAAAATTCTTCCACCACTGGGGCTGAAACTCTGACCTCTCGGTACCTAGTTGCTATACTGACTGCTATATCCCTGCTCTGTAAATAAAATGACAAGAAAAACAATTCTTTGGAATGGACCCACTTTTATACCTACAGAAAATGGTGTTGTGATATCAATGATGGGTGAGGACTCAAAGTGATGAGATGAACATTAGATAGCAGACAGACACAAAACACAGTCTGCACTTTACAAAACGAAGTTTCCAAGAAGTTATTCTGCATTTTCTGCAAGTTCAGGAAAAACCAATTTCACTGCAACACACTGCTAGATGATCTAGTAGAAGAAAATTAACTGTGGTTTAAATGTCTTACATTTAAAAGGCCTGTACTTGTACTGAATAACTCAAAACAAACACACCGTCATCTTAGTTCCACATGTTCTCATTCATTAATCTAAGACATAATATTTAAATTCTAAATTTTCTCAGTAATCTGTAAGAAACTGTACATTCATATTGCAACATATAGGTGTTCCTAGGAAACGAAATGGCAATATGTTTCTGCAGAGATAAGATTCTTAAACACAAATCATCGCTAGGTGTTAAATATTTCCATGGTTATGTAAATGAAAGTCAGAAACTCTTGAAAGACAAAGTATTGCCATGGAAATAACATACACTGCTACAAAGGTAAATCCCTGAAGACCAATTCAGTGCAAGGCGCATTCCAATGACAACAGCCAGGCAACACTCTCCATGGTTACAAACAAAATATATAAGTAGCTGTGCAGAAAAGAATGATTCATTCATAAGAAAATTCAGAAGGCAGTTCAACAGTTGAGTGTTCAGCTGTGAAGTGTTAACCAGCTAAGTTTTGTTACCAAGCAACAACTAGTGATGGCAGAGATCAAAGATATTATTTTGTATGCTGCAGTTACAGCCATCTAAGGAGTGTGTAAACCAGTGAGACTGTTATAATTATTTGTGCTTATGGCCTGTGAGCGTTCAATAAATCTATTCATCAATCAAAACCTCATCTATAGTCACTAATACACATGAAAATATTTACCCAAATACTGTCATGATTTAGGGTTGTGACTATTAGATGGGGTATGGATAGGATGAAATGCATTTATTGACCACTTATACACAACAATCAGAACTACACATGATTACACTGCTGCTGCTAATCTCAGCACTTTACAACTGCTGCAAACACTAGTGCCCTCAGTCTATTCATTCATTTTATTTGGCATTCATAATTGCTACAACAGTAACACTTGAACAAGTCACGTCATTAAATACATCATTCTTGAAATCCTTTTGCCCAAATGATTAGAATTTGTCAATAAATAAATGAATGAATAATAAATAATCACTCTTGATGTGGTTAGCCTATAATTAAAATATAACACACATTATCAAACCAGATAAATAATAAAATTAGATACAATTGTGTATTATAGTCTGCATTATCCATTTCATGGCAAAGGATTTTAACACAGCAACTATGATAGTCTCACTGGATCACACACTCCAAATATCACTTTACTATAGCATTACAGCACATGTAAAGTCTTCTCTTCACTGCTAGACTTCAAACCCTTAACTGAACTCACTAAACTCCTCCACCATCTGCCAACTGCCAACTCCAGAACTCTCAATTCAATTCTCTGCTGCAACTACTACCATCTCTTCTAACTTATCTTCACAGAGTTCAACACTCTAATGCCAATTCAAAGTCAAAATCAAAGTTACTTTATGACTGACGGTTTGCCGGCAATTAGTTCATTTTGGTGTCAAGCCCCTTGAGACTCATGACCAGAGACTTTTTTTTGGTCAACTGAAATCTTGAGTCATAGTCCTTATGTAACACCCTATCTGAATGATGGGTTTATCACTTATGAATATGTTTGGCCTTTCATCAAGTGCACATATTGCATACATAGCATGTAGCAGAAAATTCTTCTTTTGTACTATATACAAGTCCTATGTCAGTACAGGCTTTGCAAAGCAGATCATGTCTATCTTACATACTCGTATGTTATGCTACAATGGCAGCTTAGTCACTTGAACAGTGGTAAGGTTGACCATCGCCAAGTTTAAGCCCGTTCTATGTCTGACTTTGCCTTGTCCTATACCACATGTTCATTCTCATGGTTTTGTATGACTTCTGCTTGTTGCCTGCACAATTCTGTTATACAATCATAAATATGTGGAAGGTTGAAAGCTTTGTGCAAATCATGGACCAATGTGCACCTTGAAAAATTTCCAATGGTGCAGAGAACCTTGTTTTGTAGGTGCTGCAATTTTAAGAGGTAGGTGTCGCAGGAGGCAAAATATTACATTCTAAGATCCATGGGCTAATTACTTCTATTTGGCATAAGGAAAAACTGCCTGATCAATGGAAGGAGTCTATTGTTGTACCCGTTCACAAGAAGGGTGATATAACTGACCGTAGTAATTATCGGGGGATATCACTGCTATCAACTTCATACAAAATTTTACCCAATATTCTTCAATCAAGGTTAAGTCTATATACAGATGAAATTATTTGGGATCATCAGTGTGGGTTTCAAAATAACAAATCAACCACAGATCAGATCTTCTGCATTCATCAGATACTGGAGAAAAAATGCGAGTACAATGAGACCATACATCAGCTATTTGTAGACTTCAAGAAAGCCTATGATTCAGTTAGGAGGGAAGTATTGTACAATATTCTGATAGAGTTTGGGGTACCCATGAAACTAGTTAAGCTGATTAAAATGTGTTTAAACGAAATGTATAGTAAAGTCCATATAGGTAAACATTTGTCTGATAAATTTCCTATCCAGAATGGTTTAATACAAGGAGATGCTTTATCGGCACTCCTTTTCAATTTTGCTTTAGACTATGCCATTAGGAAGGTCCACGAAAACCAGGTGGGACTGAAATTAAATGGGACACATCAGCTGTTGGTCTATGCCAATGATGTGGACCTATTGAGTGATAATATAGATACCATAAAGAAAAGCACACAAACTTTAATTGATGCAAGTAAGGACGTTGGTCTAGAAATAAACACAGTGAAAACTAAGTATATGTTGCTGTCTTGTCACCAAAATGCAGGGCAAAATCATGACATAAAGCTAGAAAACAGATGTTTTGAAAATGTGACAACAGTTCAGATATTTGGGAACGACTATAACAAATCAAAACCTGATTCAGGAGGAAATTAAGAGGAGATTGAATTCAGGTAATGCTTGCTACTGTTCAATTCAGAACATTTTTTCTTCTTCTCTGCTGTCCAAAAATATAAAAATTTGAATATACAGAACTATAATTTTGCCTCTGGTTCTGTATGGGTGTGAAACTTGATCTCTGACATTAAGGGAGGAATATACACTGAGGGTGTTTGAGAACAGGTTGTTGAAGAGACTATCTGGACCGAAGAGAGATGAAGTGACAGGAGGTTGGAGAAAACTGCACAATGAAGAGCTTCATAACTTGTACTCTTCTCCAAGTATAATTAGAATGATCAAGTCAAGGAGGATGAGGTGGGCAGGGCATGTAGCATGAATGGGGGAGAAGAGGGATGCATATAGGATATTGGTGGGAAAGCCAGAAGGAAAGAGACCACTGGGAAGACCAAGGCAATAGTGGGTGGACAATATTAAAATGGATCTTAGAGAGAAAGGATGGGATGGTATGGATTGGATTGATCTGGCTCAGGATAGGGACCAGTGGAGGGCTCTTCTGAACATGGTAATGAACATTTGGAATCCATAAAATGCTGGGAAATTCTTGAGTAGCTGCAGAAATGGCGGCTCCTCAAAAAGGGCTCAGCTTCGTGAGTGAGTGAGTAAGTAAGTAAGTAAGGTGCCTGCCACTAATTCCCAGGCAGGACAAGCATAAGTCATTACTGATCTGGTCGGTACCTTATGAAGGGTCAGTTTAATGTTGGCACTTAAATGCTCAATTTTAATAGGGAGTAGACTGTAATAAACGTTCTGAAGGGCTTGGCTTCAGTCATTTTTATGTGTAATCTCCATGTAATTCCCTTATTGAAGATGACACCCAGATATTTAATATGAGTGACAAAGGAAATATTTTGTCCATTCCATGTAAGATGAGCCTCAGGGGGCCTAAGTCTATGAGAAAAGTAGATAGTCTTGGTGCTGATATGTCACCTTTGACCAAAACTCTGAAGTTTCTCTGATAAAGAAAAGGGCTAATAAGCTTTATTAGACTGATAAAAAATGTTAATCCTAATGATTTATATAGCAAGCCAAGGTGAAACATTGTATCAAAGGGTTTTTCAATATCCAAGAATACAGCAGCCATATATATGTTATTGCTGAAATTTAAGGTGACATGGTCCATAAGCCTCATACACTGAAGTTATCATGCTGCGATGGGCACAGAAACCAAACTGGCTTGCATTAAGAAGGCCTCTTTCTTCCTCGAATAGCTTGCTTGTTGTAGACAAGAGGATAATCGAATGTAAATTTGGAAGGACATTTGGGTCCTTATGGGTTTCAGTAACATCATAACTTATGCTTCCTCACAAGGTGCTTGAAAAAGAGTGCTGAATGCAGTGATTAAATAAATGTGTCGGATGTTCTTCTTGGAAGATGCCTAAGACATTCATTTTGAATACCATCAAGTCCACATGCCTTTCTCAATTTCAACGAATTTGCTGTTTAGGTATGTCACAAGGTCTTACTTTTCCCAATGAGGTGTCATCTACTGATGTGAGCAGAGCTTTGACTCTAATCTGCACCTGTTGTTCATGGCTTTCATCACATGGGACATGAGATTGTGAAGTAGTCTGCTAAACAATCTACAATCATGCTGGCTTTCTTGAGCAGGTGATACATTATTCCTAAAGATCCATGAACAGCAGTTGGTGCCTTTGTTCCGTCTCTTTCCAAAATCAATTTCGCAATAGGCTACAGAGCTTGAGGTGTGACCTCACAGCCCCTACTTTCAATTTCCACCTTTTAAGTGCCTTTCTATTCATCTGATGGTGTTGGCTTGATTTGCTGTTTTGCACAGCACTGTGCACAATTGTGGCCAGGCTGCAAACTTCACCAATATCATTTTCACCAATCAGGAGTTGGCCGTAAATACAACATGTAAAGTGAAGTTCGTAAAAACCACCGTCCAACAAGTATTCTTCAAATCACTAAATCCAGTCAGGACCTGGTGTAGAGCCTGGGAAGTATGAACTCAACTGTCAATTCTCAACTGACTCTCTCAATATGACCACTTTGCATGGAGTGAACAGAAAATACCATTCCCGACAATAACCCTACTGTTGTGTGTTTACTGATCTGTTGCTTAGAAATAGGTTCTTCTATTGTTGCGTGCATGTTCATTTCCACAGGAACTTCTTTATCAAGTCATTGCCTAGCAAGAACTATTCTGGATTCCAGGAATCATGTCACAATATTAACATAAAGCATATACTTACAACTTACCTTCCCCATGGAAATATAATCCAGACCATCAGAACAATTAAAAACCACACAGTGAACTGCAATAGCTTTGGCTAGATCTTTGGTTGTTTCTGTCTTGCCTGTCCCAGCAGGGCCTTCTGGGGCACCATTAAGATGCAGATGATAGGCACCAATCAGGGTGCGGTAGCATCGATCAGTCAGTGGTGTGATTACTAATCGAGGAGAATTGCCCAGATATTCACATGCATAATTGACTGTGGCATTGATGATGCGAACCTTCACATCATGCTCCCAGTAATACCTAAGAGGGAAAACATGCTGTCATAAATGCTAGTAATATGACAATACGGATGTTGCCTCTTTTCTCCTGTGTTCCAAGAAAAGCATTGTGATTCTTCTGTTACTGCCATGTTTGATATATCTCCAGCAAACTATTCAGTTTGTACTAAGATATCCTTTCTAAATCAAATGCTCACAAAGCATGTAGATCCTACTCCCATCTTTACATATTTAAATGGTTTGCAGATATCTGTAAATATACGTATGAGGTCTGATCAAATGTATCAACAATGAATTCATCTGTCTGTCTTTCTATCATCTATTTATGGCTCTACAGTAAGAACGTGCCATAGCTCAAGCAGCTAGTCGCTGGCTTCCTACCACAGCAGCCCGGGTTCGATCCCTAGTCTAGTCAAGTGGGATTTGTGGAGGACAAAGTGGCGCTGGGACAGGTTTTCTCCGAGTACTTCAGTTTCCCCTGACAATCTTCATTCCGCCAAATTCTCCATCATCATAATCACCTGGGGCAGGCTACAATAGGCCAATCAGTGGCCGCTGTGCCAAGTGGACCCAGTTGGACTCCATCCCCCATTAAGCAAATTTAAAAGAAAAAAAAAACAATGGCTGTACAGTCCTTCTGTTGGACCTTGGCCACTTTTTCAGTTTCTTAATCCTATATACAGTCAGTAGACTCCTTGGATGCTGAATCAGCCCATCGCAAGGCCGCTACCTACAAACAGAACATCAACACAGAATAAACACACACAGACATGCCTTGAGTGGGATTCAAACCCACGATTCTAGCATTCAAGCAAGCTAAGACAGTTCATGCCTTAGACCGTGTGGCCATCATGATTGGCTCAATGAGTTTATATTTCAGATAAATTACATTTTACATGACTGCAATTGTAATGAATGTGTCCTGACACATTCGTTACTGCATGACAGCCATGTTTAAAGTTCATTCTATTTACTCTGATCATTCAGTCAGCATATAATGTCAGATTGTTTTCTGTCGCTCCTTTAATGGTGTCAGAGACTACAGAATGATGGGATGTGTGTGCATTAGATTTTGCAAGAAGATCAAAGGCACTGTGGCTGAAACTTGTCAACTGATGCAAACAGCATCTACAGATGCAAACAGTGAGCTGAGCTTCTGACTTTGAGAGGTAAGTTTTTTAAGGGGGACAAATGTCTGTCAAACATGACAAGTATTCTACACGCCCTTCAACCAGTACAAATCAAGAATTAGTATGGAAAGCCTACATACTGTAAGAATGCTAACTAATTAAAGACGTAGACATTGCTTACAGTACATGTCAGATCTTCTAAAGATTTAGGATGGGAATGAGGCATGTCTTGATCAAATTCATTCCGCAACTGCTATAGTACACTGGTTTTATATGGCTTCTGACTTGTTTGAATCTGAAAAAATTAATGAAAACTTCTCAAAAATATCACACAATTTAAACAAATATTGGACTACAGTTATGACCTTTAAATCAAGCAGAAATTAGGACTGAAAGTCCCATTCCTTGTTACAACTGGAAAAGCACACTAAATGCACAGCAAAACCGATGTGATGATGATTTATTTCTTCGTTTTTGAGATATACTAGCTAGACATGGACCCCTGCCATACTCTTCCTTTCCTTAAACATTAGAAACCTTGATATAAAACAATATGATCTATGGAAACAATTGAAGATAATGCATCAGAGCACCTTTTTGTCTAAAGGCTGCATCCTGTTTGTGTCTTCCTGTAGGTCATAGGATAAACTGACACAGACTTGCATTAAAAAACTTTCTGTTTTTATCTCTCATTATTTACTACATGTTATGACCATAATGGGCATCATCAGGTGACACACAAATTATCACATGTGTGATATATGTATATGTGTGTGTGTATATGTATATATGCTATAAGTACAAATTCATTAAAATATGGTAATTATTATGTTATAAAAAAATTAAACAGGTTTTTTAATGTAAGTTTGTGTGGTGGTTTAATTTGTAACCAAGAGAGTAAATGTGGGAAATTACAGAATCTGAGTTTGTGTGCTGCTTCTAGTGCTCATGGAATAAGTGTGTGTATGCTCAAATAGCCTGCTCTGAATGGAACTAATCTCTCATCCCGATAGTTACAGTATTTTAACTTTTACAGACTTACCCTTCATGTTTTTTATTGGGCTTCTTAACCTTCATCGCACAGTGCTAAGCATAGAGACCACTTTACCAGCATACTACCACCATTCTTAAAATGCTTAATTCTGTCACAATATTAAAAGAAATTCATAGAAATTATAGCATATTTTTGAGCTCAATTTTATTTATAAGTTATGAGCATGTTTATTTGGAGATGAACATCATTATGCATTTCCAAGGGAACTTCCGTATTTTTTAAGAAAGCAGTCTTCTGGGATGTGGCACTGTGTAGATGTGGAGTCTGCTTGTACCAGTTCTCACAGTATCCTCGCTTGCAGATTTCTCATTTTTCCTTCTAACCTGAAGATGGAGGAAATGCGTTCCTCTGAAACGTCAGTTAACACCACATCTGCATGGTGCCACATCCCAGAAGACTGCTTTGTTCATAGTCACTGCCGTGAAAACCTCAAATCTTACCTATTTAAATAATATTATCAACACATACCATTAGTTATTACATTCCAATAAGCTCCAAGTCTTCCTAATTCTCTTGGATATCCTTAACGATATATAACTGTAAAAACATATAAGGAAAAGATGTACCGTAACTGAGCCAGCCACTTGAAGTCCAACTCAGAATGAACTTCCTTGTTGACTAAGTCTTCTACAACATCTTTGGCATGAACATCAAGCACGACTAATGCTCCCAAAGTGATACGGGACAGTTTGGAAAGTTTGCCGCGCACAAGCGTAACAAGGTCTTGCAGTTGGAGCTGCAACATGATATATCTCAACTGCACTTATTTCATTAGCATTTACAAGTAGACAAATGTCTGTAATCTGTAAAATTTATCAGCTACACAGCTTTCATTCTATTTCTATAAATTTAAAAGGGTGGATGGGAAATAAATATTTCATTTAGTTACTTACCAGGTTATAATGCTACCAATACATTTTTATAGAGGTAAAACCTCACTTACAGAGTACTGAAAATGGTATAGACTACATATACACACTTTACATGATACATATAATGCAGTATAGAAATGAGTGATAATAATGAAATGTTCACTTTTATGACATCTCTTTTATTTTCCAGCTAGTTCCCTTATAAACATATGTTATGTACTATGAAACTTCTACCTGAACAAACAGACACCAAGTCCTTGTTGCATATAATTATAATCAATTTAAGGAAATAAAAATCCAGATATATGCAAATCTAATACTTTTATAACACTAAACATACTTTGCAGTGTGAAAGAATTCTCACCAGTTCACAACACAGCCTCAGCTAAAGCAAAGTTCCGACAATGCAGTAGAATGTAACTGATAGTCAAAAGATACATTTCTATAAATGTTACTGCCTGAAAACAAAAGTTGTTCAACACCACTTCCCCCGCCACTCTCACTGCCGCTGCCATCACCATCATCACAGTCACTGTCACTGTTGTCCTCATCCTCCTACTCATAGATTAGGCCTTGTTTGAGATGTTCCAGTCTCCTGAAGGTTATACTGGTTCCTCCATCTCAACTGTGGGTTCCCTAAGTTCTGTTGTCTTGTTGGATTTTACATTAAAATTTCCTTTGGTATTTCCCTGTTTTCAATTTCTAGAATGATGTTTCAGCTGATATCTGGAAGTGCTCCTCTAATTTTAGCATTTCTTGTTAGCTCAGCTGCAGGCAATTTTCAATAGCTTTGTCAATGTAAACAATGAACAATGCCTTCAGTAATGGACAGTCATCTAGAACTCCTTCATTAACATCTATAGGAGCACCACCATTTGCTGTATTTTCCCTTATAATTATGGTTGTATTTTGATATGTATTTTAAACTGTCCATATTAAAGGAGTCAGAAATCCTTTTTAGTTCATTAACTGACACTACTCATCTGGGCTTTGTATCATAAGCACGCATTGAGAACTGGCTCTATAAGTGAACTACCTCCTAAACGAAAAAAAAAGTGACAAAACAGTGAAAATCAACCAAGAAGAGGAACCTCAAACCAACGGGTATGATAGTAATGTAAACAATTCACAACTACAATGATGCACCCTGCAGAAATCACACCAGAACACAACAATAGGATCACCAATCAACAAAATCATAACCCATCCAACATACAAAGGCCAACCTTGAACCCACCAACATACCCATTTTCACCAACTGTGATACAATCATAAATCCAAGCGATATAGATGCAACAATCCCCCAGTTACTACACAACACCAGTACAACAAATGCAACCACCCAACATAAATTAAATAAACAACAAAGACAGAGGTAAGCACATATAAAAAATGACCTCATCCAGTGAAGAAGAAGAAGAAGATGAAGAAGAAACAAAGAACAATAACACTAACAAATGGCAAATAATCTGAGGCACAAAGGAAAAAAACCTCCAATCAACAAAAAATCATCACAAATAACATAAAAACCAACAAACGATATGACCCACTATCTCAACAACCAGGAACCTCAAACAACGAAATCGCCATAGCGCCATAATACCTAAACTGCCGCCAATATTCGTTCATGGGGTACAAAATTACTCCAAAATGATAAAATGATTCCAAAAAATAGCTGAACAAGAGCAATACTTCACAAAAAGTCTAGCAAACAATATTGTTAAAATAAATTGCGAACTTCCAGAGACCTACAAAAAATGATCAGAGAATTCAACAAACAAGAAATATACCACCACACTTACCAACTGAAAGAAGAACAAGCATATAGAATAGTAATAAGATACCTTCATCACACAACAAAAATAGATGACATAAAACAAGAACGTATGGAGAAGCAGATGTATAGATTCACATTTTCTTGACATTGGCACTAGTTGGAGGTGAGTGGTCAACTTCAAGCTCCGGCCGCTTTACCCCCGGGATAAGAGCCCCAGTACCACTGGATATGAGGCTGGGTGGGCCCCAGAGCCAGTCTAGATGACGTGGAGAAGAGAAAATTCTTGACCCTACTGGGACTCAAACTGTGACCCCTTGATTGTCCAGCCTGTAGCCAGTTGCTATACCAACTAAACTATCCCAGCTCCCATAGCATACACTACATCTTAAAAACATCAACCTAGTAAGAGATTAAAACGTTTCAGACTATGTATTTCCAATCAAATTCAAGATAACCATCTTTGAACTCTGAAAACTGGGGG